TTCTTCTTCTTTTACCTCACAGGGTGTCTGTTGTGGGGAGGGGAAAGGGAAGGAGTTTGTAAGCCACTCTGAGACTCCCTTGGGTAGTGAAGGGCCATGGGGTATAAATCCAATCTCTTCTTCTTCTTCTTTTACCTCACAGGGTGGCTGTTGTGGGGAGGGGAAGGGAGAGGAGTTTGTAAGCCACTCTGAGACTCCCTTGGGGAGTGAAGGGTGAGGTATACATCCAATCTCCTCCTCCTCCTCCTCCTCCTCCTCTATGTTTTCAATTAAATAAAATGAATAAATACATCTACGGGAGCTTTCCAATGTAAGACGCTGCTGCAGAAATTGGCATCCCTGTGTCAGACTCTGCTTCCCTTAATAAGTCGAATCACTCAGCCCTAACCCCACATTTCTTTGACAGCAATAGGCAGTAAGGTGGAGCTGTGTCAGAAGAATGCATAGCACGATCCTACATGTTATGGGAGACAGGATGGGAACTCAGGCATGCCATTTTCTGCAACAGTCATAAGAACATAAGAGACGCCAATGTTGGATCAGGCCAACGGCCCATCCAGTCCAACACTCTGTATCACACAGTGGCCAGAAATACCAGGTGCCACCAGGAGGTCCACCAGTGGGGCCAGGACATTAGAAGCCCTCCCACTGTTGACCCCCCCCCCAAGCACCAAGAAGACAGAGCATCCCTTGCCCCAGAGCCCCTATCTATACCTTGTGGCTAATAGCCACTGATGGACCTCTGCTCCAGATGCTTATCTAATTCCCTCTTGAAGCCGTCCATGCTTGTAGCCGCCACCACTTCCTGTGGCAGTGAATTCCAAGTGTTAATCACTCTTTAACAGTCCCGAGTCAAGTCAACGTGAAGCCCCACGCTCTGTCAGCCTGGCTGTTTCCGCTGGAGCACCCGAGGAGTCATTGACACCTAGAAAGCAGACCAGGAGGGGATTAACTCCCCAGTCACTTCACCTGAGATGTACACGTCGTTCTTCAGAGCGCAGGCGGCAAACTCCGATTTGATGCACCCCGGCATGCTGGCGAGCGGCTTCCACTGCCCACTCGCAGGATGGAACATGTCCACGAAGGGGAGTTTCAGAAGACCCTTTCTATCACAGCCTCCGATCACCACTATCATCTCGGCTAGTTCCGTGAACCTGGCAAGAGGGGGGGAAACGGGCGAGACTGTAGTATGTTCATGCGATGAACACGTGAAGCTGCCTTATACTGAATCGGATCCTTGGTCCATCAAGGCCAGTATTGTTGACTCAGATTGGCAGTGGCTCTCCGGGGTCTCAGGCAGTTTTCTTTCCCATCCCCTACTGCCTGGTTCTTTCAACTGGAGATGTCAGAGATTGAACCCTGGACCTTCTACATGCCAAACAGATGTTCTACCACTGAGCCACAGCCCCTGTCTATGCCTCTCCGGGGTCTCAGGCGGAGGTCTTTCACACCACGTCCTGCCTGGTCCTTTCAACTGGAGATACCAAGGATTGAACCTGGGACCTTCTGCATGCCAAACAGATACTCTGCCACTGAGCCACAGGACTCTTCTCATGGCTCTCCAAGGGTTTCAGAATAAGGTCTTTCACACCACCTACTGCCTGGTCCTTTCAACTGGAGATACCAAGGATTGAACCTGGGACCTTCTGCATGCCAAACAGATGTTCTACCACTGAGCCACACACCCTTTCTATGCCTCTCCGGGGTCTCAGGTGGAGGTCTTTCACACCACGTCCTGCCTGGTCCTTTCAACTGGAGATACCAGGGATTGACCTGGGACCTTCTGCATGCCAAGCAGATACTCCGCCACCGAGCCATTGTGGTCTTTCCCATCACCTCCTGCCTGGTCCTTTTAACTGGAGATGCCAGGGATTGAACGTGGGGCCTTCTGCATGCCCAGCAGGTGCTCTGCCACTGAGCCACATCCCCTCGCCATACATTGCTCACAACCTGTTCTCAGCTGACCAATAAGGTGTCTCTGGGATCCTAAAGTAATACTCATTAGGTAAGAAATAGTAAATGCAGGGCTATTTTTGGGCAGGAACGCACAGGAACGGAGTTCCGGCTGGCTCCCGAGTTGGCCACGCCCAGCAGGAACTCATTAGCATAATAGGCCACACCCAAGAGCAGACACTCATTAGGATTGGCTACATTAGGGGTGTGTGGCCTACCATGCAAAGGAGTTCCTGCTACAAAAAAGCCCTGGGTTTTGACAACAAACAAGGTAAACAGAATAAGAAGCAAAAGGTGGGTGTGGCTGGATGAGCACACTTCTGGGAACATGGGAATGCGGCCTAATAGGCTAATGAGCTGTGCTGTCAGGGGTGTGGCCTAATAGGCTAACGAGTTTCTGCTGTTGGGTGTGGCCAATTATGCTAATGAGTTCCTGCTGGGCTTTTTCTACAAAAAAAGCCCTGAGTAAATGAAAAGGAACAGGATTATTAAATAAAAGGTTTTACTTAATGTATTATTTACTGTACAGATTGCTCTAGGATACAGAGAGAGAGAGAGAGAGAGAGAGAGTGTACAAAAAGACAGAGAGAGAGAGAGCGAGAGAGAGAGAGAGAGAGAGAGAACGAACAGAATCAGAAGGACTCCCCAGACAAGGAACGTGGTGAAATTCACTATCAAATAAGTAGAAATAAGATACACATTATCTAGGAATAAGCCCCTCTGAATGCAGTGAGACTGTCTCTCAAAAAAAATACTAAACAGAAAAAAATAGTTATTTCTGCTCACCCCAAAACAAAACAAAAAAAAACAGCCCCCCCAAAAAACAGAACAAAGACAACCCCCCCAAAATAGAACAAAAAACAACCCCCCAAAGAAACAAAACAAAACAACAACCCCTTCCCCAAGCTCCCAAGCTAAAGCGTCTTAATGTCGAAGGGAAACTGGGGAGATGTGAAAAGTTGGTTGTGTCCTCCATGGAGAGAAGGGGCATTAACCAAATCCCCCCCCCAAGTTTTCCTGAGACTGTCCCTGCAGTCCCCGTTTCCTTTCCCCTGCCAGAGGAGACTTTAAATTTCTTAAACTGCCACTAGAATATCATCATAGCAATATAATGTTATTTCAAAAAGTGTACCGGGTTCTCAGATTTAATTTTTAAGGTAAGTAAATCTCTAAATCCCATTTTATTGGGGAGACATAAGGGGAAAGGAAATGGAATGGAACAGAGATTTTAAAAAGAAGAGGAGGAGGAGAACGAGGTTGGATTTATACCCCACCCTTCACTGCCCGAAGGAGTCTCAGAGCGGCTTACAAACTCCTTTCCCTTTCCCTCCCCACAACAGACACCCTGTGAGGTAAAAGAAGAAGAGGAGTTTGGATTTATACCCCGCCCTTCACTCCCCAAAGGTGTCTCAGAGCGGCTTACAAACTCCTTTCTCTCCCCCTCCCCACAACAGACACCCTGTGAGGTAAAAGAAGGAGAAGAAGAGTTTGGATTTATACCCCGCCCTTCACTCCCCAAAGGAGTCTCAGAGCGGCTTACAATCTCCTTTCCCTTCCCCTCCCCACAACAGACACCCTGTGAGGTAAAAGAAGGAGAGGACATTGGATTTATACCCCACCCTTCACTGCCCGAAGGAGTCTCAGAGCGGCTTACAAACTCCTTTCCCTTCCCCTCCCCACAACAGACACCCTGTGAGGTAGGTGGGGCTGAGTGAGCTCTTTCGAGGACTGCCCTTGAGAGAACAGCTCTGAGAGAACTTGTGACTGACCCAAGGTCACACCAGCAGCTGCATGTGGAGGAGTGGGGAATCAAACCCGGTTCTCCCTGATAAGAGTCCGCACTCCTAACCACTGCACCAAACTGGCAACCCTGATTGGGAAGCACTTAGAAGTGACAAAAGTCTCTCTCTCTCTCATCTCTTTCAAGCATCCTGTCCCAGGAAAATGTCAGATAAAAGATTCCCCCTGTTCCCCTGTCTAAGTCCACTGAAGAAGAGAAAGAGAAGAGAGAGAAGAGATTGGGTTTATACCCCGCCGTTCACTCGGAGTCTCAGAGCGGCTTACAGTCTCCTTTCCCTCCCCCTCCCCACCACAGACACCCTGTGAGGCAGGTGGGGCTGGGAGAGCTCCCTCGAGGACTGCCCTTGAGAGAACAGCTCTGAGAGAACTTGTGACTGACCCAAGGTCACACCAGCAGCCGCAAGTGGAGGCGTGGGGGAATCAAACCCGGTTCTCCCACATGAGAGTCCGCGCTCCTAACCGCTACACCACAATGGCCCTCAAAGAAAGGTGAGAATTCATTCAGAGGAACTGATCCACATGGACCCCTGGATTCCCACCCTCACCGCTTCCTCTCTCGTCAACCCTGAGCACGGGGGCTTATTTTTTATGCTGGCTGGAGTGGGAAAACTGCCTGGAAAACTAGCACGAGTTGACTGCCAGATTATTGTGGACGGGCTTGGCCTAAAGCACTTAATCTAGTGGGAACCAGAGCCTAAGGACTGCTCACGTTCCTCCACATGAGTTCATTGTTAGGAGACAGGCTCCGAAGATCTATGTGAGCTTGGAGAAGGTGAGGGGGGAGGAAGGTGTGTGTGCATAGGAAGACACACCAGTTGTAGGATCCTTGGTGCTTGGGGGGCCACGGAGGGAGGGCTTCTGGAGTTCTGGCCCCACTGGTGGACCTCCCGAAGGCACCTGGGTTTTGGCCACTGTGTGACACAGAGTGTTGGACTGGATGGGCCATTGGCCTGACCCAACAGGGCTTCTCTCTTATATTCTTATGTCTGGGACAGCGATGCTCTGACTTCTTGGTGCTAGGGGGGCCACGGTGGGAGGGCTTCTGGAGTTCTGGCCCTGCTGGTGGACCTCCTGAAGGCACCTGGGTTTTGGCCAGTGTGTGACACGGAGCGTTAGACTGGATGGGCCATTGGCCTGATCCATCATGGCTTCTTTTTATGTTCTTATGTCTGGGGGCAGTGATGCTCTGACTTCTTGGTGCTAGGGGGGCCACGGAGGGAGGGCTTCTGGAGTTCTGGCCCTGCTGGTGGACCTCCTGAAGGCACCTGGGTTTTGGCCACTGTGTGACACAGAGTGTTGGACTGGATGGGCCATTGGCCTGATCCAACAGGGCTTCTCTCTTATGTTCCTATGTGGGGCTGTGGGATCCTTGGTGCTTGGGGGGCCACGGAGGGAGGGCTTCTGGAGTTCTGGCCCTGCTGGTGGACCTCCTGATGGCCCCTGGGTTTTGGCCACTGTGTGACACAGAGTGTTGGCCTGGATGGGCCATTGGCCATATCCAGAACCTAAAAAAGGTTAGTCAAATGCAAAAGAGGGCCAACAATAAAAGCTTAATATATGAAATATATAAAAAGATACATGTATTTACTGAAGAAAGATTTTAAAAATTATATATAAGGGCCCAATTACACCACATGTACAAATAACAGACTTCACGTTCCTGGGATCCCAGATCACCGCAGACTGTGATGGCAGCCACGAAATTAAAAGACGCCTGCTCCTTGGGAGGAAAGCGATGGCGAACCTAAACAGCATGATAAAAAGTAGAGACATCACCCTGCCAACAAAAGTCCGCATGGTCAAAGCAATGGTATTCCCAGTAGTCATATACGGCTGCAAGAGTTGGACTATAAGGAAGGCCGAGCGCCAAAGAATAGATTCTTTTGAACTATGGTGCTGGAGAAGACTCTTGAGAGTCCCTTGGACTGCAAGGAGATCACATCAGTCAATCCTAACAGAAATCAACCCTGACTGTTCCCTGGAAGGCCAGATAATGAAACTGAAGCTCAAATACTTTGGCCACCCAATGAGAAGGGAGCACTCCCTGGAGAAGACCCTGATGCTGGGAAAGATTGAAGGTCAAAGAAGACGGGGACGGCAAAGGATGAGATGGTTAGACAGTGTCATAGATGCAACGAACATGAAAGTGAGCCAACTTCAGACGACGGCGGAAGACAGGAGGGCCTGGCGTGATCTGGTCCATGGGGTCGCGAAGAGTCGGACTCGACTGTGCGACTGAACAACAACAACAAATAACAAATTATAACACAGAAGGGCTGATAGATTTGACCTGATGCGTTTTGGCCTGGAAAGGTCTTCTTCAGAGGTCAAATATGATGAAGATGGGTCATTGGCCTGATCCAACAGGGCTTCTCTCTTATGTTCTTATGTACCCTGGCTCTTTTCTGTTTGTGAGCAAAGCAGGCTGAGAGAAGCAGCATTATGTAAAGCACCGATTAGGGTTGCCAACCTCCAGGTGGAGCCTGGAGACCTCCCAGAATTACAACTGATCTGCAGGCCACAGAGATCAGTTCCTCTGGAGAAAACAGCTGCTTTGGAGGGTGGACAGAATGGCCATATAGCCTGCCGAGGTCCCTCCTGCCCCAGACCCCACTCTCCTCCGGCTCCACCCACCCTCAAATCTCCGAGAATTTCCCAGTCTGAAGCTGGCAACCCTACATCCCCGGTCTGAGAATTGCAGGAGCATGACACCGTGTGTTAGCAGTGCGATGTGACTGTGAAGAAAGCTAATGCTATCTTAGGGTGCATTAACAGAAGCCTTGTGTCCAGATCACGGAAGGGGGTCGTTCCGCTCTATTCTGCTATGGTCAGGCCACACCTGGAGTCCCGTGTCCTGTTTTGGACACCACATTTTAGGAAGCATGTCGACAAGCTCGAGCATGTCCAGAAGAGGGCAACCAGGGTGGTGAGAGGGTTGGAATCCAAGTCTTACGAGGAAAGGCTGAAAGAGTTGGGTCTGTTCAGCCTGGGAAAGAGAAGGCTTAGAGGGGACATGATTCCCCTCTTCAAGTATCTGAAGGGCTGTCATGTAGAAGAAGGAGCAGATCTATTCTCTCTTGCTCTGGATTGCAAGACTAGAACTAATGGGTGGAAATGACAAGGGAGTCGTTACCGGCTAAATATCAGGAGGAACTTCCTAACCGTAAGAGTGGTTGAGCAATGGAACAGTCTGGCTCGGGAGGTGGTGGAGGCTCCTTTGCTGGACGTTTTCAAGCGGAGGCTGGACGACCATCTTTCGGGTATGTTGTAGGCAATGTTCCCTCTAAGCTGTGGAGTCTTTTGAGCAACAATTCTACTTTGTGAGCTCCTGGCATTAAAGCTGTGAGCAAGTCATTTGCCTACTGCACAAATTAGTTTGCTCTGGAGCCCTCCTTCCTGAGCTAAGACAAAAATATGTGAGCCGGAGGCTAAAAAAACTGTGAGCTAGCTCACACTAACTCAGTTTAGAGGGAACACTGGTTGTAGGTCTGTAGGGCTCTCTTTCAGCTATGCTCCTGCAGAGTGCAGGGGGTTGGACTAGATGACCTGCAAGATCCCTTCCAACTCTAAGATTCTGTGATTCTATGTCTAATGAACAGCAGTGTATAGGTTACAACAATGAGAATAATAATACATGAAGCAGACTCGCATTGATGGATAAATATTCACACGTTTACCTTCTTGGTTGAGACCACGGAGAGCCGACCTCATTGCCTAGGAGGCAACCCTTCCGGGCTTCTTGCATCAAAGGAAGACACTCCCTGGACGCCCGGATGAGCTTGTCCGTCTCCACCTTCTCCACGAAGTAGCAGGGGTCCAAGAGAGGGAGACGGACACACTCCAGTAGATCCCTCAAGGCCCCTCGGCGTGTGGCCGCATCCCGGCGCACCCATCGCATGGCAGCCTCAAAGACCACTTCCTCTTTCGGAACAGCCAACCGCTCGTCTGCCAGGTACTCGGCGAGCTCCCCGGCCTCCAGGTCCAGGAATTCCTCACGGCGCGACACCTCCACAAAGCCGTCCAGCACCACTCTCTTGCTCTTCTCCGCCAGGGACGGGATGGAGAAGGTGTCGGCGAACCGCCTGAGGCCCAAGCAGTTGGAAGGGTGGAGGTGACCTTCCAAAAAGTCAACGCAGGCTTCCTGGAGTTTGGGGATCTGAAGCAGGTTGGACAGCTCCAAGATCCCTTCCACGTTGTCTTCTCGGACGACCACGTTCCTCCCGTACATGTAGTCCAAGACGAGGCCCATGGCGGGTGCAGGGATCTTCCGGAGGTCGACGACGTCTTGGCGGCCTTCTTTCGGGCCGCCGGCGAACATCGCCCGAAAATACGCGCTGTTGGCAGATAGAGTGGCGCGGTGGCACGGGAACTCCTGCCCGTCCATGGCTAGCACCACGTCAGTGAAGATGCCCTCCCGCCGATAGGAGTCCAGGGCCTGGAGGATCTGCTCAGCGTGGCAGAGCATCGCGGGGAGCTTTTCTCGGCTCAGGTCCAGAGAGGGGTTTCTACCGGCACCGTGATTCGTTGCATAGCCGGAGTCTTCTTTCGCTCGCCGGTGCATCCTGAGTCGGAACAGAAATACGTCAAAAGGGCCCTGCTGGGTCAGACCCAGAGATCCTCTAGTCCGACACTGAGAGCCAGTGTGGAAAAGAAGAAGAAGAGGAGGAGGAGGAGGGGGAGGGGGAGGGGGAGACAAAGAAGAAGAAGGAGAAGAAAAAGGAGGAGGATGAGAAGATTGGATTTATACCCTACCCTTCACTCGAAGTCTCAGAGCGGCTTACAAACTCCTCTCCCTTCCCCTCCCCACAACAGACACCCTCTGAGGTAGGTGGGGCTGAGAGACCTCTGAGAGAACTGTTGAAGAAGAAGAAGAGGAGGAGGAGGTGGTGGAGGAGGAGGAGGATGAGATTGGATTTATACCCCGCCCTTCACTTCGAGTCTCAGAGCAGCTTACAAGCTCCTTTCCCTTCCCCTCCCCACAACAGACACCCTGGGGGGGGGGCTGAGAGAACTCTGAGAGAACTGTTGAAGAAGAAAAAGAGGAGGAGGAGGAGGAGGAGGAGGAGGAGGAGATTGGATTTATACCTCGCCCTTCACTTGGAGTCTCAGAGCGGCTTACAAACTCCTTTCCCTTCTCCTCTCCACAACAGACACCCTGT